AGGGTGTTTCAATAAAAGTAACAAAGTTCTGTCGCATACCCCATTAACCGAGCACCTTGTATATTCAAAAATATTTTTAACTAACTTTGTAATTTAATTTTTTTTTCTTGCATCACTCTGTAAGGAGATATCGTCCGATATCGCACTAAGTGGACACCCTGTATAATTCCTAATTAGATGAAATTTTCAGGGATTATAGTCCTCTACTGGGATAAGAATCGCTGAAAATTTCAGCTTTCTATTTATAATAGAAAAAAAGCGCGGGGTGACACTCTGTGAAATTCTGTACAATATTCGTTTTTTATGGATTAGTTAGTATTATCAAATATTAGCAATATTTGTAGGTATTACTTGGTATTCTTAGTAATAGTAGGTATGGGTATTTTCAAGTATTAGTAATATTTGCAGGTATTAGTAGTATTAGTTGGTATTATCAGTATTGGTAGTTATTTAAGTTATAATAGCTCGGTTAGAAAAAATTTGATGGGAATTAATCAAACACCCATCACTTTGAATAAGTTCACATCACTGGAAACATTCTCTCATTGGCTAAAGTCGATATTCATGCGCTTTGTTGCCACATTAGAAATGCGAAATTTCCATTCAGCCTACTTTTAGCATGGACTACACGTTTTTTTCCCAAGGAGTAAACCACCCCCTGGATTCGTACAAACAATTCCTAAATCTACCCGCAAATTTCCCACAAATTCCCTGTAAATTCCTCCAAACTGTTCGCAGATTCCTTGCAAATGTTTGTTACAAATTCCATAAACACGCCCAAAATTGTTCCAAAAAAGTTCTCATACAATTTCCCCACATATTCCTCCAAATTTCCCACAAATTCCCACAAATTTCTCTAAATTCCCCACAATTTTGGCAAAGTATTCCTAGGTGGTTTGCTCCTTAAAGGTGAATGATCAGAAGGAACTTTTAATTTTTTTCTCAATTTCAATCTTTTCTTTCCATTTGTTCCAAAATGACATTTAACCCTATTTTACCACACATTTTTTTTTTTTTTGGCCTTGACCATAGCTCACTTAGCCACGAAAACAAAATTCAAAAGTTCAAACTCTTGCTAACCATTCACAATTACCTAAACCCAACCAACCTTTTCGTCCTGAGGTCTATGCAGAACATTTTTAAACTTCAACAAAACACAGGTGGACCCGGTTAGGGGGGGATGTAGCATGTAAGGAAAAAAAAACATAGGAAACGAAGCTAACTCTAACTATCTTTCAAATAAGGACTTTACATAATTTTAAATAATTAATAAATATATTTTCCAAGTTATCATCTGATAAAATAAGCTTTATTAAACCCTTGTGGTTCATAGGTATTAGATCGAGTTTTTCCAATTCTCTTCTTAAGAACGAAGTTGCCAATTCATTGTGTCTACAACAAATAATCTATGATTCAAGTCATCTTCAGATTGGTTATCACAAAAGCATCGCGTGTTCTCGCATAACTTAAGCTTATACATATGCTTACTAAACTTTCCATGCCCAACTAAAAATCTGAAATAGGACAAACACATTTTTGTAAAGTTTAAAACGTTGTATTAATGGCTTTTTATTCAATCTAGGATAAAAGGAGTTATACAAATTAGGGGAGTTAATTGCCATTGCGATATAATTACTGCGCCAAACTTCCCAAGATCTTTTTTTGATTATTTCGGAAAAGTCCGAATATGGAGTAATTTCCACGATCTTTTCTGATACGATTGCCTCCCTTGCTGGATTGTCAACCAATTCGTTGCTTTTGAGACCTGTATATCCCTTAACCCATAAAAAACTTGACAGAAATATTTTTAGAGCACAAAACAGAGAATACCTCCAATACTTTGGCTATAATAAGATGCTTACAATTTGTCGCATTTTTGAGATACTTCAAAATTGACTGAGAATCAGAGAGAACAATAGATGGAAAGATATTTCCCTTTGACAATATATGATCTAATGCTTTCATTATTGCTAGTGCTTCGGCAGTGAAGATAGATGCATTATTTTCACATTTGAATTTTTTAACATAATTCAATTCAGGTATAGCAATTGCACATCCTACTCCTGAACTATTTTTAGCCCCATCGGTATATACTTATTTGAAGATAATTTTCGTACTTGCTTAAGACTTCCCTTAAAAGGATTGAATTTAGTGAGGGCAACTCCGAAAAATTGAGAAATAGAATTTCAGGTTTGAGATATATCAAATCAGATGGAAATTGAAATAATATATTTGTCTTGTTTTATTATAATGTTATAAAATTCTGATGTATTTACAAAGGCATCCGCTAAAACAGGACTTTTCTTATTTTTCCAGTACGACTGAGTTAGATTAGAAATATTCAAGAGTTATGTACAGGGTGATTCATTAGGAATGGCACTCGGCCATATCTCAAAAACTATTAATCGTAGTCTTGTCGGAAAAAAATTATCCCATAAAATGGCCAAGAGAAAATGCTGGAAATATATTTCAGCTTTCTAAACCTAAGATCGACCAGATTTGTTGTTGTTTTCAAATATCCACCCATAGAGTTAGTCCAACTAACTGAAGTTGGAATTTTTTACAATAAAATTAAAGAACAGACTCCTGTCTTTCCAACGAACCCAATTCGTTGAGTCGTTTTGAAGTTATTTGTGTTCTTAAGTTGCAATATTTGACAGCTCATAACTGTCTTATCCGATAAGTTATGGTAAAAAGTCATAAATCAAAATTGTGTGAAATTTCATCAAAAATCTATTGCTAGCATTTTTGAGATACGTTTCCATTTGAAATTTATAGTTATTTATACACCAAGTGAGTTAAATGAATGTTTATTCATGAGAAGAAAGTTTAACCCACGAGCCCTAGCGAGTGGGTTAATTTTCTTCGAATGAATAAACAATTCAACTCACGTAATGTATACAAAATTTTATCCCATTTTGTGGAAATTCAAAAAATAAAGTGTAAGGAAAAATGCCGAGAGTGAGTTAAAAATATTTTAAATCACTGAGGTCCCAGATTTTTAGTTGGGCAGAGTGACTTAAAATGCCGAGAGTGAGTTAAAAAAGTTTTAAGTCACTGAGGTGATAAACGTCTACTTACCTTTACTGTTATGCGTGGAATAATGTCATTTTTAAACGTCAAAATGGGATAAAAAAATAAAACCAATTTTGTACTTTGACAGTTGGGTTACGCCCCCTTACGGTCATTTTAGAAAGCTGAAATATATTTCCAGCATTTTCTCTTGGCCATATTTATGGGATAATTTTTTTCCGACAAGACTACGATTAATAGTTTTTGAGATATGGCCGAGTGCCATTCTTAATGAATCACCGTATGTACGTATTGAACATTTTTAAGAATAAATTTTTCTGCTACAATTTTTCGTCTTATTTCTAATGGAACTTTCAGAGATACAGATTTAAAAAAGGATTTGGCAATATGAAGACAAACATTTAGGATCTTTCCTATTAGATAACAAGAGTTCACCGATTGGCGACTATGCATATCCTTTGGTTTTTTTCGAGGGTTTTTTATAGCATAGCAATTAGGTTTCGATGTTATACAATTCTTTGTACTGATGAGAGATTCGGCATCCTCGCATTTCTATTGATTTGAGAGACTTTGACGTCATAGTCCTTGCCTGAATTTGCAAATAATTTTATTTTCAAAAATAAGCGTTTTATTTTTTGGAAAAAGTATATTAGATGTTATCGAGGATGTTATTAGAATCTCGATTAGAATGCCTAATACAATAATGAAAACTGTGATAATAATTATTTAAATGTGTTTGAAAAATGTGAAAGTAGTCTTTTTTGGTCGAATAATTTTTATGTTGAAGTACCTATTTAATAATTTCATCAGTAGAGGCACATTGATTGTTTGATCGTCATATTTTTATACTGTGGTATAGTAGCATCAGGAGTAGCGTCCATAGGGAATTATTGAATATTTGTAAGCTTTATATGGAATTATTGAATTATAGAAATTGTAGTATGTATTTGTAGATATTTGTAGGTATTTGTAGTGTATTATCCGATATTTCCAGATATTATACCGTACCATTAGGTATTAGTTGATTAGTTCAAAATTTCTGATATTTGTATAGATTATCCGGGATTATCCAAAGGGTGTACAGGATATTACTTAAGTGTCACACCCCTCGAAAAAAAGTTATGGCCTTTCAAAGTTTTCCAAAATCTAAATCATAAGGTTAGTACTAAAAAGATGAAATTTCATTTTTTTTTTGTTGGGATTTTGTGTCCTAATGTCCCTTTGGGATCCCTCAAACTCCATATACTTGATTATTCTGAGATTTGAAGCCGGAATCTATGAAAAAAAGCACTCAGAAAAATTGAAAAATTAATAAAACACCAATAAAGTAGTAAGAAGGTTGGATTAGCCATTTGTCTATCTACTCAATACATATATTTGCGGCCAACATTAGAGTGAGAGAACAGGAGAGATCCGTGAGATTTTCCTGCCCTTACTAGCGCTATCTCATTCAGGGCTAGAGTGAGAGGTATGGGAGATCTAATAGATTTTTTGCCCTTACTGTAATCTGTAATAGTAAAAACGTTATGACCTTTCAAAGTTTTCCAAAATCTAAATCATAAGGTAGCTTCTTGAAGTTTTGTTTATTATATATTATCACCTATAGTTTCATACGGATATTTCAAAATATGTAGTGTAATACCAAAGTCTACCATCTAGGTATATTACTCTACTTTTTTTTTCATATTGTTTTTTTTCCTCAGTTCTAACCTTTCTATCACACAGATTTCTTTTAACTATTGGTCATTTTCAATTTCATGAAAATCTTATTTACAATAAATTAAAAGTAGGTACTACCTCAAAGTCCGTGAACGATTTATTGAGTTTTTTGAAAAAAAAACAAGCCCCAGCAAACTGGTTTACCCAATTTGAAGGTGTAGATCAATTTAGAAACTCTTATCAGTTTTGGCTGCTAAAAAAAAACCGTTAGTTTCACACCGAGTATTTTTCACATTGATTTTTTTTAGGGGATGGGTATGGAGAGAAGCGATCCATCCCAAAGAGTGTCTTGGGGTATGTTGCCCACAATGAACGGCCCCGACAGGAATTCCGATGGAAGACCTAGATCTAGTTGTGATTTACCACGCGTACCTGGTATTCAGTAAGTTCCCAGTTTCTAATAAATAATACAAAACTAATAATACAAATTATGTTTAGCATATACCCTTCTGTCCATGACCCTAGCCTGGTGCAAATACCCATAGGCAACAACACGGGTTCGCTTCCGGATCTAACAAACATGGATTTCACCTCTCCCATTCACGCACCACTTGATCAAGATCAAGATAATGGTTCTCCTTATAGTTCTGTAAGTGAATTATTTAGATAAAAAGTAATTTATTATTAGTTTTGGTTAGCAGAATTCTATTCCCTTATTATATTCTCAAATCTTGCCTTTATTTGAACCTTTTCAGAGTCCCATTAATACGAGCCCATCAACACTTTCCCCCACCAGCATGATGCCTGGTGTCAGAACCCATCATAGTCGCTTTAACTTTACACCGCCCATATCACAGTCTCTTTCGGTAGGTAGAGCTACTAGCTAGAGTAAGGTTAATAGTGTTGTCTATCCCTTCTTTGGTTTTTTTTCTTGAAGTGTCTAGATGGGTTTTGCTTTTAGTTTTCTTTTTTTTTTCTTGTTAGCAGCTTAAACAATGATATTTTTCTAGCTTTATCTGTTTTATATTTTATTTGCTATTCTCAAACAATTTTATTATTATTATTTTTTTATTTTGCATGTTCTTTTTATTATTTTGTTTCAGAATCATTTATCAGTTCCAAGTAATTCTAGGTATTCTAGGTTCCAACAGCGGTCTTTATCTCAGGTAGGTAGGTTCATCTAGAATTTTTTCATCATATTTCTTTAACCCGATTTAATTCACCTTTCATTTGCTAACCCAATTCTGTAGATGTGTACATTATATGTAAAATGGTAACTTCTGCTACAGCACAACAATAAAATAAAGGCACCAGAAGGTGCAACTTGATTGACCGTTTCAACTGAAATGTACGTAAAATGAATGAGAGAATGGGACGTGCCACAAGTCTTCCTCAATAAAATAGAGTATCAAGATTGATGTGTACATAGATGTCCAGACTCATAAGAAAAGAAAAATTAGTACTACGGGTGATAGATAAATGAATTGGTAATCCAAAGTCAAGAGCACCTTCTGATTCTTATCCATTTTGCACTTTCACATAATATTTGTTCATTTAATAGTTGTCCAAATTGCAACATTTAACATATTTGTATTGTCTTTCAGAGTGATAAAAACATAGGGCTAGATAACATCGACTTTTCACAATTAGGCGCTATGTCTGGACCTTACCAGCAACAACAACCAGGATCTCCAGCATCACCAGTGGTAAGTCTACTTTTCACATTCACCTTCAAAATTAGACGAAAATATTCTTCCGAAGCAATTACCTCAAATGGACGGCGGTTACCGAAGCCCGCGTCCCAGTCCGCAGCCGTCGCCCACTTTAGGAGGCAGACACTCGGCCCCTTGCAGCCCTGGCGAGCCTAGTCCGCTACAAAACGACTATCACAACATCCACAATCAAAATATGCAGTTTCAGCAGCATTTTGAACAGTTGACAGTGGTAAGTATATGTAGCTGTTAGAAATTTTTGTCTACTTATAGTAGACGAGTGCTAGAATTTATGTGTCATATTCGCCAGGGTCATTCATTTTAGGAAATTGTCATATTAACGGTAACTTAGATTAACAAGAAAATTTAGGTGAAGTATTTCATTGAAGATATTTTTCATCTAAATTTTCAACTTAAATATCATGTAACTCGTAACAAACAGGACAGAAATAGTGGCTACAATATAGAAAATGGGCAAGTTATTAAAAGTACCATACATTCGTGTGTGTGTGTGATATTTTTGATGTAATATTGTCCTGAAAAAAAAAAGCTATTAGTAGAGAACCTCTTAATATCCTTAATTATTAATTTTCAATTGCTAACAGGGAGTGGTAAGTCGTGTTTGTTATAATAACCCTAGCCGTGATCGAATAATCATTTCATAATTTATCACTCACCACATTTCTCATTTTATAGCTTGTTCCAGTGGCATCATTCCACATTATTGTCACCCAAACAATACAGAAAATGCTAGCATAGCCGAGTATTTTTTATGTTTTTTTGATTTTATAGATTTTTTGTGTACACGCTAGATTTAGTTTCTTTACCTGGCATTGAAAAAAAAACACACGATTGACTCACATTACAATAATGAGTATGTTTATTAGTATTGCAAAAGTTCTGAAATAATGCTCGTGATATATTGTCTCTAATTCAGGCTTTGTGCTGTTTAATGAAACCAAATCTAGATTAAAAGGGCCACAATTTACACTTTTAATACCGGATCTGCCACCCAGTAACTTGAAATGTTTAAAATTGATCGCTTATCTAACTCATCTAGTCTGAAGCAAAGAAAATCAAGGTTTGAGGGGTGAATCACAAAGTTAGTTCTTTCTATATAGGGTGATTTGCGTAGCTCCTGCATTAGTTTGCAGGTGGATGAGATGGTATTTCTAGTAATTCACCTGCAAACTGCATGTGCTGCGTAAATCACCCTGTATAGCTTGTTTTTTTTTTATAAAACAAATTATTGGTATAGTGTGTTGGACCCAATAATCATTGACGAATGTAGCAAATAATCTGATGTATGTCAACCATTAACATTTGTTGGCTCACCCTTCAAGTGAAATTTCTTGCGACTAATCAATGTCTTGTTTGTAAAATTTGGCCAAACTTATATACAATAATAACTATAAATATAATTCAAATAATAATGGTGTTCTAAGTGTATAAATGTGTGTGCATGTTGTGTTTTGGTAGGACTGGGCGCAGCTAGTTGCCAGCCTAATGGAGTCGGGCTGCACGTGGACCGCGCAACTCGAGGTATACTAACAAAAAAATGCTAACCAATTTTTTATTTTTATTTTTTAATACTAGTTTTCTCTCTCTTTTATTATACGTGTCCTCTTTGATATGCTTCTATTAGCCTACACAAAGAATGTCCTGGAACGTTAATATGTTCTGGGATGGTGGTTTGATTTTTTTACTTATGGATACTTTGTTTCCGCTATAGATAGATGTTTAGACACTTAATGTTTTAAATTGAAAAAACTCAACTTCTCTGGCATGCCGCTAAATAATGTTAGAGCATGTAATTTAAGTGTCTTTGTAGTTAATATATATCTCTGCAATGGCTGATGTTTTATTAGCTAGTGTATTATATTTTAGCACTTTTTACTATAGGCAATAGTTTCTTGCCTATATTTTAATGAAACTTTGCTTAGAATAGTCTATTCGTGTTTTTATTTTCATTGAAAACAATGCATGAATGATATCAATACTAAATTCAATTTTTGCCTAGTCGGATCCTCCGATTGGCCAGATGAGCTACGGTGATCAGACGGCTAACAACAGCCAAATGTCGCAAAATCTGCCCGAAGGGTCAACGGATGCTGGTTACTATAGTACTTCACCCTCACAGCAACTGGTCTATCCTTCGCCGTCGCCTGGTTTGCAGAACACGTCGCCCAATACTCCTACTAGTCTGCCTGAGATTATATTGACAGGTGAGAACAACTATATAGCCATCCATACTGTCGTCTATTTTATCAATAATATGTATTTTTGCAAAAACTAAATAATTTAATAAGACACTGAACGCAGGGGGTGACAACCCGACGGATTATTGGAGGCCTACATATGGCGCATCTATTCCTATAAAGTTTAGCCTTTTAAGTTACCTACTCCTTTTCTTGCGGTCAGCTCTTAGACTATTACTTCAAGACTGTTAATATCAAATCAAATCAAATCAAATAAGCTTTATTGTCTGGAAAGTGCAAATACATTTTATCGACAAAGCAGAATCCTTAAAACTAAAAATAAGCTAACATAACAAGCAAATAGGTACAGTACTTACTTAGCGAAAAACAGGAGCCTTAAACTTGGAAATAAAACACAAACTGAACTTAGGTAGTAAAACTTAAATAAAAACATAGGTGTTGAAACAGAAACAATATAATTGAGAATTTCATACATCTGTCAAAACTGGTATTCCAACAATAAATTGACATGTTTTGATTGTTGATTTGAACCAATCAGATTGTAATTACGCGATAATTTGCACTAGTGCAAATTATCAGATAATTGCATACTAACTGGTGCGAAAACTGGTGTTTTGACATTTTTTGACAAAAAATTTAAATTTTTGATTTATGAAATTCTCTCATTAAATACAACTCGTGCAATGGAAATATATTTATAATTTTCGACAAATTTGCACTCGTGCGTTTTTAACTGAAAAAGGCTCTTTTTCAACTAAAAATGCATTCGGGCAAATTTCCCAAAAATTATCAATAATTTCCATTGCACTAGTTATATTACTATTGATAAATTGTAGGAAAGACTGGAAGAATGAGCACAAGAAAACATTTAAAAACACAACTATTGACATGATAAACAGAATAGATAAAATGATGATAAACAAAGTCAAAATTGATCAGCAAAGTACTCCGCTAAGGTATAATATGCCTTGTCAGTCAGCAAAGCTTTTACAGCATGCTGGAATTTCTTGATAGGCTGTATGATTCTTACAGCAATTGGCAAGTGGTTATACATTTTTCTGGCATTATAAATGATGGAGTTTTTTTCTATCAAAGTGGAGTGTGGTATAGGCAATGGCAACATTCCAACTTGTCTGGTGTTGTAAAGGCCACTGCCCACTGTCGAAGTATGATGCCCTTTGTGCACCAAGGAAACTGTTTCCAGTATATAGAGACCTTTTGAAGTAAGAATTTTATGCCTGATAAACAAAGGCCTGCAAGAATCTCTAATACCAGCTTTGCAGATATAACTTATGGCACCCTTCTACAACACAAAAACGGAGTTCAGTAAATATTGGCTAGAGTTTCCCCAGAAAGGAGTACCATATCTCCACCAAAGAAAAGTGAACTGTACGAGACATACTTATGTTAAGTTCATGTGACACAACTCTCACAACAAAACAGCCAGTTGCCAACTTTGAACAAAGATTCAAGATGTGGGCCTTGAAACATAACTTGCTATCTATACATAAACCCAAAAATTTAACATCTGTGCAATTTGAAATTTTATTTGTGACAAGGGCTATGCCAGGCAAAGAACCATTGAATTGTGAAATATTTGTCTTGGAAATATTACGAGATAAATAGTTGGCATCACACCATAGCTTCACATGTGCAATATCTTTAGAAATTGTCTCACTCAACTCAATAGGATCAAAACCATGCCACAATATAGTGGTGTCATCTGCAAATAACTTGAAAGTACCCTTAATCCTGGGAGTGGCAATGTCGTTAACATAAAGTAAGAACAGAATAGGTCCTAGTATGGAGCCCTGCGGCACTCCGGAGGGAACAGTCAGTTCGCTAGATTCGGAACCTCGCACACCCACCCTCTGTGTTGTTTCGCTCAAGTAAGACTTGAACCAGGCAAGAGCAGTACCCCGAAAACCATACACCTCAAGCTTTTGAAGCAGTATTCCGTGATTAACGCAGTCAAACGCTTTTGAAAGATCACAGAACACTGCTGCAGCCTGTTCTCTCTCATTCAGTCTCAGATATAGGTTATCTAGAAGAAAAAAAAAACACCGCGTCGTTCGTGTTTTTCCCTGCCCGAAATCCGTACTGAGACACACTCAAAATACCACGCCCATCAATCAGAGCTGGGCAAGCTACTTGGAAAAAGTAGCTAGCTACAAGCTACTTTATATTGTAAGTAGCTAAGTTACTCAGTAGCTCAACTACCTCTTTGAAAAAGTAGCTAAGCTATTAGTAACTTAACTACATTTTGAATTAGTGAAAGCTACTATTTAAGCTACTTTTATCAATGGACATGCCTTACCTAATTTAATTTCATAATATCATCATACGAAAATAACATATTAACTTTCTCTAAGAAGTAGTATTCATATTTTTGTCAAAAACCACTGGACATTAATTTATTAGGTTCACGTTGATCACAGTGATCTGCGAATGCGAGAATATAATAGGACACATAAAACATAGGTACCTACAGAGATAACTAGAAACTAGTCTAAGCAAGGCAGGATAAGAATTTTCCAGAAAATGATAATTGTAGCTTGAGCAATTAAAGTATAAAGTTACTTTTATCGAGCGGTAAATTCAAACGCGGGCGATAGGTTGGTGGAAACGTGCCTTTATAAGGGGAAAACTGTTTATTTTTGAAAACAATGTTGAATGGATGCCATTATATTATAGGTATAGTTATTTTATTTTTGAACTAGAAGAGTCCGCTGCGCATAAAACGTAATAAGTATTTTGGGCGTTGAGTATCGTTAACGACACCCTCGGGCGGTAAATGGCACTTTCTGCCATTAATACCTAAATAACTATTAACTATCTACCAAAAGTAGCTAAGCTAGTAGCTTAACTACTTGGTAGCTAGCTACTGCCCAGCTCTGCCATCAATGAATGAGTTAACTCGTGTCTTCACCAACTTTTCGACGATTTTTGAAAGTGTGGTTATTAATAAGATGGTTCTAAAATTAGCGGGAGACTCAGTGTCAGCATGCTGCTGACTGATCACAATAGTTAATTTGATAACCATCATGTATCCTGACATTCGCCCTGAGAGCCAAGGAACTTAAAAATATCTACACAATGTCACTAATACGACATGCGTAGTATGAGTTGAGCACTGTTACGGGTCACAAACCCAAGGCTGTTAACATCTTTACAATGATGAAAAAATATTAATTTGGATCCAAACAACATCCCCAAGCTTTTGACTTTTGTCACAGCAGACACCAAATCTGAACCATCGATAAAATATCCATATTTTATTACATTTGTTTTTTGTACTTTATTTCCTTTTCCATTGCTCTGATTCACATATTCTTATTTTTTTCTGCGCATTATATCTTCTACATTTTCTGGTACTTCTTCTACATTAGACACAGCATCGAATACTATGCACATTTCATAATCATCATATCTTTGAGGTATTTTAGTCAATCTTTTAATTATCTTACTTGTATTTGATGAATCAATGTCAATTTCGTTTACTCTAAACTCTGCTGTGGTATATTTATTTATTTTATTTATTTATTTACGGAAAACCCCCATTAACAGTTTACAATTAACAAAATATAAAATTATGAATATAGATTAGACATAAAAAAATTCCAAACTAACCAAAACAACCCCTCTTAATACTAGCCCATTAAATATAGTAAGCAAAACCATAACCAAAACCTGAAAAGCACAGAACCCTAAAAAGTGACACCATTAAATTGCTTTTCAAATTCTCTCAAAGATATACCAAATATTTCAATGTGATGGTCATTAACAACTCTAGAATATCTATCTATAGGCGTATTAAAACCATAATTTGTACGGTGAAAAGGAATATAGGATTTGACCAAAGTCTTTTGACATTTTGTCTTCTATTTCTAGTAACTATCTCAATATTTATTTTACCTAACAAATCAGAAACAATTGTACTGTTAACAATACCATACAGAAAAGTAAGTCCTGTGCTGAACCTTCTCCACTGTGTAACTGTAAACTGCGTGGTACGGAGACCAAACAACTGCACTGTACAGGGTGGCCCAAATTCGAACCTCAACATTGGGATCTCGGTAACCGTAAGAGATACGGGGTCGGTTAAATTATGGCAAAGTTGCGCAATTTTATGGCCAATAGAATGCCGTTATGAAACAAGGAAGATTCCGAATACTTCCGGAGATATTCGGAAAAAACCGAAATTTTGTAAAATCGTTTTTATTTTTTTCCGGGCTTATTTGAAAAGCAATTTTAAAATAAACGTCACTTCATCATTCACTTTTTCTCCTTTAGAAGATGGTGCTACTAAATTTAAAATTCGACGTTTCGTCTTCAGGCGGCCATCCTCAACTTACGTTTCTTAAATACGGACCTAGATTTTTTATTTGCGATTTTGTCATCTTTGGGCATCCTAAAACCGATACTGTATGCGGTAAAAAAAGTCGGTCTTTATTTAAAAATAATAAATTGATGATGATTCCAGAGGAACGAAACGTTGGATTTCAAATTTAATACCGCCATCTTGTAGAGAAGAAAAAGTGACAATGGGAATGTGAAATTAGTTTTTTAAAAACTTTTTAAATGGAATCAGGAAAAAATTTAAGAAAAACGAGAAATTCATGTTTTTTTCGTATTTTTTTCATTTTTTTAATTTTCATTCCCATTGTCACTTTTTCTTCTCTACAGGATGGCGATATTAAATTTGAAATTCACCGTTTCGTTCCTCTGGAATCATCATCAATTTATTTTTTTTAAATACGGACCTGCTTTTTTCACCGTGTTATTGAAATAGTTATTTTCCTAACAAGTACGCAAAATGATACTACGCACGAAAAAGCAGTTAGACGAACGACACGAAGCGGAGTTCGGATAAGCTTTGAGTGCGGGAAAGACACTTTGCGCAAGTGTTAGGAACAATACTTTTTCTACAAGTGTTTGAAGATTTGCATCCAAAGGAGCTGTACCTAATCTTCTTAAATGTTTCCAGATGCTCAAAATTGGTAAATTTCTCTCCTAGTTCAATGTGTTGTGTTTTCAATATTTTTTTCAGTGATCAGCTTGACTTTATTTGCACAGCATTGGTTGTGCTAGCGAGGTTTACTTAAAATTTGAACAAGTCGTTAATTTTGTTTTTCTTGCCAAAGTTTTGGTATGGAGGAGTATAACTTACAGTCCAACCTTTATAATCTGATACTCCACAGGAATGTGAGTTGGTGGCTCTCCATGCCAATGGTCATATGACCTCACATCTGTTTTTGCTGGATTTTTCCTCCCCTCGCTCCTCATACGGAAAGCAGTGGCGTAGCCAGGATTTTGTCTTGGGGGGGGGCAATTTGCAGGAAGCGTCTCTTGTGGCCCTACCGCGAGCACTGCCGGAGGCAAAGCGCCGCAGGCGCGAAATTTTTGGGTGCCACGCCCCTTTTTCAGGTTTCTCTACGCTATTTTTGGGACTGTTTATCTTAATATTGAAGAAATATTCATAAAATTTAAAGGTCTTGGGGGGGGCAAATGCCCCCTTGCCCCCCCCCCCTGGCTACGCCAGTGACGGAAAGTGTCAAATTAGCCCTTCTTTCTGAATATAAGTTATCCAGGAACTCACAAAACATTGAAAAATCGAGTATAAATGCGGTAACTATGCGTAACAAAAATGAGTGCGCAAAGAGTTTCTGCACGCAAATGAGTGCGCAAAGTAATAACTTTGCGCACGCAAGTAGAAAAAATTATAAACAGTATTGGTTTTAGGATGCCCAAAGATGACAAAATCGCAAATAAAAAATCCAGGTCCGTATTTAAAAAAAGGAAGTTGAGGGTGGCCGAAACGTCGAATTTTAAATTTAGTAGCACCATCTTCTAAAGGGGAAAAACTGACAATGATGAAGTGACATTTATTTTAAAATTGCTTTTCAGATACGCCCAGGAAAAAATAAAAACGATTTTACAAAATTTCGTTTTTTCCGAATATCTCCGGAAGTATTCGGAATCTTTCTAGTTTCAAAAGGACACTCTATTGGCCATAAAATTGCGCAACTTTGCCATAATTTAACCGACCCCGTATCTCTTACGGTTACCGAGATTCCAATGATGAGGCTCGAATTTGGGCCACCCTGTACTTTAGTTTGGACCTCACTAATGCACAATAAACATTTCTAACAGTATCAACAGAGAAACTGTTACAGTTCCTCAAAATAAAACCCAACATCTTAGAAGCCTGCACCGTAGCTGTGCTTATGTGATCAACGAAAGTTAGGCCTTCATCAAAAATAACCCCCAAGTCTTTGATTTTTTTTACATATTTCAAATCTTCCCCATCGATTGAATAAGAAGTATGATATTTTCTTTTCCCCTTATAAAAACTAATTTGACAACATTTTCAAATATTCAGAAACAGTTTGTTTGTACTGCACCAATCGTTCAACCTGTCCAAGTCCTCCTGCAGGAGCTGTTGATCGGACAAGTCATCAATTATTTTAAAAGCCTTGAAATCGTCAGCAAAAGCGAGACCCTCACTGTTGAAGCAATCAAAAATTGAATCAACAAACAAATCAAAAAATAATGGAGAGCAATGCCCTCCTTGAGAAACGCCTGATGTAGCCAAAATTGCATCAGACTGCAAAGACCCAATTTTCACCTTCTCCCTATGATCAGACAAAAAACTCCTTGTCCAACCAACAGTCGCCGCACTGAGCCCATATCATGTAATCTATTAAGGAAAGTAAAAGTATAGGGATCCACTCTAGCAAACGCCCAATCAGTATATATTGAATCAACTTGCTTAAACTCTTCCAAGGCTTTGGTTATTTTATTATGATATGTGACTAGGTTGGTTACTGTTGAACGACCAGCGCAGAATCCATGCTGATTTTTGAAAATAGGAACAATAAAACTATCCTTCCAAAGGTTTGGAAAGGTTGACAAACACAATGACTTGTTAAATAACATATGCAAAGAAGCCATAAGAGTGCATAAACAATGTTTCAAAAACAATTTTGAATCCCATCAGGACCCAAGGTGCTTTTATTGGGAAGTTTAACTATCTTATTGTATATTTCTTCTTTAGATTGATTTAAAATGAAACTAATTTTCATTAAGAATCACATTCCTTGCTTACTTATTGTTCTTTAACGTTCCAAAGTCTATATCCAGTTGTTGTGTAATCTATCATTGTTGCTTTTCGGCTTTAGAATCAAATTTTTCTCTAAATTTTTTTGGTATATGGGATTATTACCAAAACACCAAATGTGCACTTGAATGTCACAGTAAATGGCGGGTAAATCCAGCAAGTCGCAACGTTTAGATACCTGGGAAGCTGGATAACTGAAGATCTAGATTGTAGACGGAGACGTAGAAATACGAGGCAGAATTGAGCAAGCCAGGTCGACATTTATGAATATGAGAGCTATTTCTAGCCACAATAGTCGTAACTTGACATTACTTTTTGTAAAATGCTACATTTACTTCATGCTACTGTACAGAAATATCGAGGGAAAAAGAGGCATGGGAAGAAGAAATATTCGCGGTTAAAGAACATGACTTTCCAGAGAGATCTAAATGAATATACCAGAATTAGTGGCCACAATAATTAATGGATAAAGGCTCCTTAAGAAGAAGAACATATGAGAACAAACTGTGTGACTGGTTTGGGATTTCTGTGGAAACAGACCTATATAAATGTGCCAAATTAAATTTTTCCCTATCCTGACTTGATGACATTACAAATAATCTTTCAAATATGAATAACAATGTTGTTTTATAGTGATATTAGAAATAACTTTTTTTCTACTTCATTTCCACCTTTGACTTTACCAGAGATCAATCGGATCCATGTTCTCTAAAACTCTTATTACTGTCTAAAAACTCTTCGGCATTTCCAGTAACAAACTACATGTTTGTCCTGCATATCAGCACCTGTGGCCTATAATTTTCTTATGGTGTCTTTAAACTTCTATTAATTAACATTCTGAATTTTCTATTTCACTCATCTTCATAGACATTAATTTTTGTCGTGACTTAATTAATCAACGTTTTACATTATTCAAAAAAGCAAACTAAGATTTTTACTCTAACATACATTTTTACTCTTACATAAAGAGAAATCTAAATAGCCAGCTACATGATTTTATAATAAAGGATCCAAAAGACCAACAGATATTGAGGGACCCAAAAAATACTGCAAATATCTTTACAAGTCAGTTTGAATCAGTCTTCACAAATGAATCCTTAATCAACTTTCCTTGTTTGCTGCAACAAACACGAAAGAAAGACCAATCAAAAAACATAATCATAACCACAGAAGCGGTCACTGAAGCTTCAAAAGACCTAAAAACTCACTCTAGTCCAGGACCAGATGGAATACCTGCAGTATTTCTGAAAAATTGCGCACCATTTATAAAGGCACTATTTAACGGTTCCCTTACAGAGGATATCCTACCAGAAATATGGACCCGAGCAATTGTAATACCAATTTACAAAAGCGGCGAGAAGTATAATCCGGCTAATTATAGACCAATCAGCCTGACATGCACAATGTGTAAAGTATTGGAAAAAATTATGGTCAAAGAAATAACCACGTTCCTCCTAGACACACATTTTCACGGCTTTCTACCAAGTGGATCTACTACCACAAATCTACTCAACTCGGTGGATATACTCCTAGATTTCCAAAAAGCATTTGATACTGTCCCTCATGAGAGGCTGTTGTTTTACAAACTGGATCCCTGTGGAATCTGAGACTTCTACCTGCAGTGGAGCAGGAATTTTCTCAAAGACAGACACTCCCAAGCAAATGGAACCCACTCAGACCTCTATAGAGTTACGAGTGGAGTACCACAAAGATTGGTCATAGCTTCCATTTTCTTTCTGATCTACATAACAGATCTGGCAAAAAGCATCAGAACGAACATTGAGACCTTTGCAGATGACAAAAAACTGACACAAATACGCCTGTTTCACAAAGATCTACAAACAATAAAGCAATGGATGAGTACCAGGGCAACTCAACGAGGCATGATGCACAGTGCTTCATATAGATCGCAAAAACCCAATGATTCAGTACAAAATTAACAATATGGATTTAAAAAATGTGGAGAAGGACCTAGATGTTTATGTTCGAGTATATGTTATTAACGATCCAAAATGGAAAACGCATATAGGACACATAGTAAAAAAGGCCAACCAGATGTCCTACTCGATGAAACAAGCCTTTGCAAACCACTCCATTAGCGTGATAAACAGGCTATACACTATTTACATGAGACCCAAGTTGGAAGATGGCCAAACAGTGTGGAACCCTTACTATATCAAAAACATCGAACTCTTAGAGCGGGTGCAACGCAGAGTAACGAAATATCCACTTGAAATTAGACACTTACTTTACGAGACCAGGCTACAGAGATTCAATTTTACAACATTAAAGCAAAGAAGAGAAAGAGGTGACCTTATAGAGACCTATAAAATCCTCAGCAGTTTCTACTCGCCGGACATTATGATGACAGATATGTATAATCTGAATTTAAACCAGAACCGCAATTTCAGAGGACACCACCAAAAATCAAAAAAAAGGAAGAGCCCTACTGTTCGGAAGGAGCAACCGTGTCGTATACCTGTGGAATTTTTCAAGTCAAGAAACTATGAGTGCACCTAACAAGAATGTATTCAAAAATTGACTAGACAAAATCCCGGAAACGTCGAATAATGCCTTTAGTGCATTATTTGTTTGTAACTATTTACTCATAAATGAAAGATTCCTATTGCTATACTGATAAAAATAATATTAATAATAATAATAAGCTCACTATAATACTAATTAAATTGCAGGTCCATCTCTCAAAAGAAATTTTAAACTTCTCGACTCATCTAATGTTTGTGAGGCCTCAAAAACCTTGATATAATAATATGTATCAAATCGTGTTCCTTGCATCTTTTAGTTTACATTGTCCATTTCTATAAATCTTCAATAACCTTTTTCTCTTTCTCTAGATTTTTCAGCAGGTCAAGATATTAGTAGACAATTAGATAGCGAGTTCCTAATGGACGAACAACTAAAAGAAGGTCTAGGTTCACTCGATTTTGCCGAATTGCAAATGCTTAACAATATGGGAGGCATGCCAGAAATCGTCGAAGATTATAGATCATAACAAAGGTGAGTTTAGTAAAATTGAATTTAGGAAAAAGCTAATAATATTGTTTTAGGGATTCTCCATCACCGCCACCGACTTAAAAAAAAAAAAGAGTCGTCTTGTCCAGTGCGCCACAGCATTTTTTTGCAAAAAAAAAATATAGTCTTGAATGATTTTTTTTTCTAAATATCTTATCTGGACTACTTAAGTGTGATTGTTAGATTTTAGTGACATTTTTAAGCGAGTGTTGCCAATGGCAAAGCAGTTGACGAATTTTGGATATAACATTATATGTATATATGTTTTGTACGAGAATGGTTTGAGATGTCTTTTGAGTAAGAGGATTTTATTTGTTTTCTTCGATTATGTATAATGAAATTGTTAACTAAATAAAAAACAAAAATGAAGGTGATAAAGGCACAAAAATTAATCATTTAAGTAGGTACATATCAAAAGAAGCACAACAGGGTTTGAGTATCAAAGAAAACAAATTGGTTATTTGGTAATATTTATTTTAAAGTTTCCTCAAAACCCTTTTAGAGTGAATTTGGCCTTAATAGTTAGTGGGTATCATCAATGCCACATTATTATTGAACATATCTGAATCTTAAGTATATGTCTAATGAAACTGCCAAAAACAACCAATAACCAAGTAATTAATGAGACTATTAAGCTTGATTAAACCATATAAATTCCAATTAAAGAAGCTTCTTATAGTCTTAGATCCTGACTATTTTTATATAGTCGAACCGTCCACGATAAAAGTGTTCCCATTTGTATGGTCAAATTATAAATTTAGGATTAGAGTGCATAACAATCCATCGTAATATAAGGCAGTTCTTTGAGCTTCATGAGTCAATTAACTAAAACAAATATTACCATTAACTTTAAAATAACCTTGTCAAAAGTTATCTTAACATTCTCAACAACATCTTGTACATAAATAATAAAAATCTCTGTGGTTTCACAATTATTTCAACTGTAGGATTTTGAGATTCTCAATGTAATGTCATGAAGTGAAGTAAAACAATTAATATCAAAGACTGAAGGATAGTCTTTAAGCGACTGTGAAAAAAATTAAAAAAAAAAACAAAACGATTTAATTTGGGAAAGTTAGAAAATAAAATTAATTTAGATTGGTTAAATTTTTTATATATTGTATAAAACTGTTTACATTTTAGGAGGTAAATGACAAATTTTATAAAATGATTTGCCTAAGGCTTAAATGGTTTTTTGTTATGTTTGTAAATCTTTATTATGTGCAAAAATGGTCCATAGTTTTCGATGGGTAGAAATCAATTTTAGTTGAATGTAATAAGGTACCCGCAAAAGGAAAATATTATGAAATGAGTTTGTGAAAAAGTAGTGGATAATTTGGTATAACAAAGTCATTACTAAACATTTCTTTTTAAAACAACATAATTGATAGAGTTTTCTTTGGAATTTCATTGAAAATGTCATTATTTATTTGTGATTCTCTGAAAGTGTTTATTCCAACGAAAATTAATGGAAGAACAGTCTTGTGCCATCTTTGGATCGTAGGGAATTGAGTCCGTATACCATCTTAGTAGCCTGGTGCTGTTGGATTCAACTAGCATTTTGTAAATTTATGTTAATATGTTTCTTTTTATTATCATCATTATCTATAATTATTTAAGCACTGTTAGAGTTTTTTGAGCTCTTGTGAGAGTAAATTGTAATTTTTCTTTGCAATATGACAAAATAATATCAAACTTGTTTCACAAAATTTTTTTTTGCAAGTACCCAATTTCTTACCAAGTTCATACTTCAATTTTTTTTGTTCAATACCTATACATAACCTAAATGTATCTTCCCATTGGAAGAAAATTCATATATCGATGTTAAACACTATAGTAAAAAAGTTCGTGTTGTGGGATCAAGCTAAAATAGAAACGATATTCTTCAGAATTAGCCTCATGACTGAATTTAAACAAAACAAAAAAAAATATAACTACTAATTGATTTTGTAAAAAAATTTGTGTATTTTTATATTTGTTTGTATACATGTATATTGTGTATAATGTTAAGGTTTAGTTAATCAAGTGCAATACGTTGTTTTTTTTTATTATTATTATTTTCTTTTTTATTTGTCTAAAAAGAAAAAGTGGTGAATATTTGAAAAATTTTAAAATAAATTTTGTTCTTCCAGTAGGACTATATTAGTTATTATTATTATTAGGCTAGTTCACAGGGACAGCGGAAGGTTTACCAAATTTGGAGTAAAATCTGTCGGAGTAGGTGAGCGACAAGGGAATGAAGAAACAACTAATTTGATACATCTCAACGGTAAGTTGTTAAGTAAATCTTTATTTATTTATTTATTTATTGACGGCAGGCCATATTTTAACAATGATAAAATTATAAATCAAACTTAATCTAACATGTGCATGCAACCCAACCAGCAATTTTAGTCGCTGGTACGCTCAGAGCCTGTATGTATCCTCGACTACAAAGATAACTTTAAAGTTGGTGTTACTAGTATCGGGAACCGTTCAGGCACTGTTTCTTCACCACGTTGTTACCAAAATGGGGAATGATTTTGCAGTAACGTTTACGTGCCTGCATCGTCCTCGGAACTTTAAGTTTACGTCCCGATACCGTTTTGGAAACGTTGCGAAACCGTAAGTGTGTGGTAATGCCAACCATAATGGGACTTTTTTCCATGCGCCTTCAACCTTGAAGATATTTATTTGATCTTTCTCTCTCTTTCAACTAAAATTATGTATATTGTGTTCCCGTTCATCCAGCCAGTACTTTAACTTCACAATATGTCGACCTATATTTTGTTTATTTGATCATTATTATTACGTACCTATATGTATATTGAAAGGCTTTGATTTTCGTACCCAAGCAGCTAAAACCAAACGCGTGAAATTTTTCTGTGAAAATTAAGTAGGGTGAAAGTACCTGTTGTCGGCCACTTAAGGCAAATTCTGGAATAAAATGGCGATTGAAAATTAGTGGATAGAGCGTATGGAATTTAAATTATGTTTTATGATACCTTATAGTATATTAAATTGATTAATGCAACAAAAAAGGGCTAAAAGGTTTTGCATTTTTATAGAAAAATGCTTTTATTCAAAAACGTGCATTTTACCGGTTGTCGGACAATCATCACATTTCTCGGACACAAAGGGACCCGTTGTCGGACGCGTGTCCGAGAAATACGTTTTTTCGTCCACATTATCTATTACACACTAAATGGTACCAGTTTGGGCACTTCTCACAGCCAATATTTTATTTTGGAATTTTTAGTCAATTTTCTTTTTCTTCCATCATTGATTGAACTTTTTTTGGTATTTTGTTTCTCTATAGTCTTTTCCTCTTTTTTCTTTGTTTGTGCTTCAATTTTTTTTTTTCTTTGTCTCGTTCCTTTCTTTCATAATATGATCTATCTCCATGCCTTCGATGAGATTGCACTTGGTAATTTCTCTTTTTTTTTTGTTTTCTTGGCTCTTATTTCATAGATTCCGGAAACTGGAGGTGGGCGACTGGAAGGGCTTACAGCAACGGCAACATTTTGCATTTTAATGGGAGTTTCTTCTTGAGCCTCCATTCCTATGTCTGTTGTTTTTCAGGTTTCTCAGTTCCAGGAAAATGGCTTTGATCTTTAAAAGGAGATTTTTCCATTGCTTCTTCAATTTCTATTTCATAAATACTTTTATCAGATTTATTCTCTGTACACTTGTAACACTTTTTTATTAAAATGAAAGCAGAAAGCACTACCCCATACCCATATAAGTAATGTAAAATGTCCGAGAACTTTACACCAACCTTTTCTCGGACACTTTTTCAGGTATACTACAATTTGACGCCTCTGTAGTTTATAGTGTCCGCAAACTGGTCCATAGAATCTCGATACAGTCGTCTAAATGTAACTAATAAGGAAAATTAAGTTGGAAATCAAATAAGCTAGAAAAAGATACATATAGTTTCAACGTGCCTGGCCAATTGTCGGACAGAGTGGCCGAGAAGAGGAGTCTGCCGATTTATAAGACCGGTTATCCGGACATTTAATAAAATAAACAAAATACATACTGATATTCATTTAATTTTTATGGCTATAATCGTAAATTAACATGTTTATAACTTAAAAACATCAAGAAAGTACCAAAAAATGGAGTAGGAACATTTTTACTCACTATTTCCTTCTTAGCTTCACACTAGCAAACTTGTTTACTTAATCAAAAGGGATGTGTTGGGAAAAACAGCAGACACATTATTAATTTCCTTAATTTGGTCTAGGCCCGTAAAGAGGGCGGTATTACAAAAACTGGTGGAGAAATAGTGTCTGAAAGTAGGTATTACTTTAAAAAGGGATTTGATATAATATTTTCTTATTTATTGGATATTTTGTCATAAAGTGTCCGACAACAGGGGGTGGCCGGCTAACAGGTACTTTCACCCTATGCTAAATCTGAAAATAACAACGCGCCCTCAAAATACTTTATTCCAAGGAGTTAGCACTTTTAATAGGTCCATTATAATTAGAAATCATAAAAGTCAAAGTTTTTATTAGTAAACAGATAATATAAGGCGTGAATTTTCTACTTTTACAGAAAACGATGTTTTTCCAAAAAATGACGTCTTAAATTTCCTATAAAACATGGCGTATAATATTCAACGCTACGTTGAAGTAACCTATAAATTCATTAAAGTATAATTTACCTAAGCATAAGTGGCGCTCACGAATCGGTTACCTTACAATGTTAATTGGAAGTGGCAAACTCTAAAGTGTTTTCTATTGTCCCTCTGCGGTTGTGGTTACCTTTAAAAACACTTTGTAGTCACGCCTACTCGAAAGTTGAAATTTTGACGTTACAGTGAAAATTATTTGTTACTTTAAAGTTTTGGTATCAAATAAGTAGCTAAACTTAACGTCCCACGGTTCCAGCAACCCTGAAACGTACCACAAGGTAATAACACCATAGGGTCACCAAATTGGATAAGTGTTACCGAAATTCCACTAATTCTCTGACTTACTACATACTTCATAGTAAGTTATTTGGTACCAATTACTATTTTGTTACCTAATCATAGTAGCAGTATCGATCAGTGAGGGTTTCTATAACTTTGATGCTAGGTGGGAAGAAATAAAAATAATAATGATAATAATAATAATAAGCCTTTATTTCCAACAGGAATAAAGCCAATTACAGGAAAAACACATAAAATTTAATGAAAAACTATATAGAAAATTGTGCACAACAGCACACTATAGCTATTGTCATATTATATACCGTGCTAAATTATAGATAAATAACAAAAACAGAGCAAAAAAAATAACAATAATAAAAAATGCGACAAACAAAAAAACAAAAACATTTTTTTCACCAATGCTAGAAACCTGAAGCTAATAATTAATCAATGAAAAGAGCACCAAGAATCCGCAACAGCCTATCATGATTAATATCTCATTCGCCCGACACAGCATTGAAAACAGCGCACATGAGATACACTGGGCTTTGTGCTAAGATGTTAGATCAAGCTATGCACAGATGAAATGTCCGACTATATCTGCCCTCAATGCGTGGAACATGAAACAATACCTGAGCGACTAGGTATGGGCAGTCTATAATATGATGCAACCTCACTGCCTGAGCCTCTCTTCGGTCGGCCAAAGATTGAACACTGAATCGCTCAAGCAGCTGATCCTGATCGATACCCCTTGGGGGTAAACACCATTTACCTTTGCTAAATATTTGAGAAATAGTCTCTGGGCAGTTTCAACAGTTTTAACATGACAATCATAATATATAGGACTCCACACAATTGCACCATACTCAAGCTTTGACCTTAAAAAAGTGTAATACAAAAGATTAAAGGCAAATAGATTTGAAAAATGTCTGCTGTTTCTGAAAACAAAGCCAAGCGTCTTGAGGGCTAATGCACTTGTTGCGTCAACATGAGGTACAAAAGTCAAACGGCTATCGAATATCACTCCTAAATCCTTGATTTGATTGAGCCGAGCCAATATAGTACCTTCAATGCTATAGTCAACTACAACAGGATTTTTTTTTTCTGTGGAAACTGATAATATTGCACTTCTCAACATTCAAAAGAAGCCTGATTTCCTTTCACCAATCATTCAAAATATTCAGGCACGACTGTAATTCAATACAATCCTGGGTAGTAATAACAAGTAATACGCGTAAGAAGTGTTACCAGCAAAAGATGCAGTCAAGTCAAACCATTGCAAAATCGTACACCCTCCCACTCAAGAAGCACACAGTGCGCAAATAAACAGCCCATCATATTCAAAAATAAAAATAAAAAATAGCGAAAAAAAAAATCGAAACTCGGCCAAGATGAGATTAAACAAATATCATAGCAAATACATCATCACAGATTGCGAACCACTAGAAAGATATATTTTTTTTTTAAGAATTTACTGAACCTGCAAATAAGTCTACATCAATACTGTTCTGTAGGTGATTGAAGTATGAACAGGCTTGATAGATTGACTCATTTCTGGCAAGATATGTGGGGCGATTTTTCAAATAGAATTTGCGGTGGGAAAGTGTGTTGACTACTGGTAAAGAAAAATTAGGGCTATTTAGAAGATCTGAAGAGTCTACCAGGTTGTTACATAATTTAAAAAGAAAGAGTTGATTTGCTAAAATTGTACTCTGTTGAAGTGAGAGGAAGTTGAACTTGTTGAATAGCAACTGGTGGTCAAATCCTCTTGGAGGGTAAATTCCATCCTTTTTGTAACTTGGAGACTTTAGGAATCGCCGTTGATCATATTCGAGCCTATCCACATGTACTTGATGGTAAGGAAACCACACCAGAGAAGCATACTGCAATTTAGACTTAACCAAAGAGTTGTACAACATGATGAGACTGTCGATATTCTTAAACTCTCCCCTAGGGTTTTCAATGATGAATGCACAATTTAATCAATATGGTCATTGAATGTGAGCTTTTTGTCGATCACCACCCCCAGATCCCGGATTGAGTCGACTCTCAAAAGAAAACTAGATTGAAATTGGTAATTAAAGTTCAACTCATGATTGAGATTTGAGATGGTCATCGATTTGCACTTATTGATGTTTAGATATAATTTGTTATTTTGACACCAACCTGATAGTGCGTCGATATCTTTCTGCAGCTCCTTGCAATCTTCTAAGTTGTTAATAATTCTAAATAGT